GTGGCTGATAATGGAACTCAATTCAATTGCTCTTCATTCCGAGATTTCTGTTCTAGTTATGGGATCAAGTTGCAGTTCACCTCCGTTTACCATCCTGAGTCCAATGGCATGGTGGAATCTGTTAACAAATGCATTTTGGAAGGAATAAGGCCGAGATTGGAGCAGCATAAGGCCAAGTGGGCAGACGAGCTCAACAACGTCCTTTGGGCATACAAAACCACGAGCCGAACTGCTACAGGTACTACTTTAAACTGGGTTCATTTGATTAATTTTTATAGTATTTTATTTTTTCTAATACGCTTTACCTTAGAGCAAATATGCATAATGCATAAAACGCATTCTAAAGTTATAATTAACTGAAATAGGTGAAACACCCTACCACTTGGCCTTTGGTACCGAAGCAGTTATTCTTGTTGAAATAGGAGTCCCAAGCTTCCGGGTCACCCATTTCAATGAAGGACGAAATGGACAACTGCTTCGGGAAAACCTTGATCTGCTTGCTGAGGTCAGAGAAGAAGCTCGGCTTCGAACTCTCACATATAAGCAGAAACTAGCCAACTTCTACAATAAACGGGTCCGCCCTCGAACATTCAAAGTAGGAGACCTTGTTCTCAGAAAAGCTGGCCTAACAGGGTTTAAAACTCGTTTTGGCAAACTCGCCCTAAATTGGGAAGGCCCTTATGCCGTGGCCGAGGTGCCACATCCTGGTGCCTATGTCCTCCAAGACGCTGAAGGAAAGAGAGTTCCTAGAGTCTGGAATGTCAATAACTTGAAGAAATTTTACCCTTAATAAAATTCTTTTAAGTGATATATGTCTTACTGTTCTTTACACTTCTCACTTCGTATTTATTGAGATTCATTTTACTTCTTATTCTATGTATCAGAAGTCAATCAGTACTTAAATCTCACTTCTGATTAATAAAAGTCACTTCACATATGAAGTACTTTATTTCCTTTTAAGTTCGTTCACAGTGATGTGCTTATTCCTAATCTACATGGAAGATATTTACCTCTTCTTAATTCATCTGAACTGACTTATTTTCCTTTTGTTTATTTCTGAAGTGGTTAGCCTTCTTTCAAATTACGTCTCAAATACTCTCAGTTCTTTTATTCATAAAAAATAATAAAAATATAAACCAAACATAAACAAATATATAATTTCATTTAATGTAATACAAGTATTACAAACTGTTTAAAAGTCTCTACCAAAAATTTTAAAAAAAATAAATAATAATAAAATAAAATAAAATTAGTTCTCTGCTGTAAGAGGTGGCTCCACCGGCTCTTGTTCAGCTGGAAGAGGTGGCTGTCTTGGCTGCTGCTCGTCTGGCAGAGGAGGCTGCTCATCGTCGGAGGGAACTGGATGAATCTCCACTTCTGGAACTGCTTGGCTCTCATCCACTTCGGCTCCCTCCACTCCTGCCTCCACCTCGTCTTCCTCTACTTCTGCCCCTTCTTCCTCCACTGCCACGAACTCGAAGTCGAACTGTGGAGGGAAAACAGCACGTCCATTTGCATCATCCTCCCACCTCAGTTTGATCTGAGGACGGAAGTCTGCTGACATGCTCTCACCATCTTCCTCCACTCCTTCTTCTTGCTCTCCGAACGTGATCTTCGTAATATCCACTTCGGGATATTCTGCCTTCACCTTCTTCCTGCAGTCCGTGAATGCGATGATGGCAGTAGGCAGCCGATATAGGTTGACGATGTTGTCAAATGAGCTGGAGCTGATGAAGTTGCTGATGTGCTCCTTCATCCCATTGTGCACCAAGGTCTGCACGTTCCCCTTTAGCTCCAGGAAAGCCTCCTTCGTCAGCTTCAGTTCTTGCGCCTGAGCCTCACGCTCGCTTTCAGAGATCTTTCGTTTACTCTCTTCAAAGCCGAGCTTGGTGCTCAAGGAAGACCTCTCCTGTTCCAACTGCTTCACAGTTGGAACCACCTCGTCCAGTGATTCTTGCAGATCTTTATTTTTCTTTTCCAGCTCCTCCTTCTCCTTCTGCAGTTGGTCACACCGCCTCTGCAAGAGTGCGCACTCCTTTACACTATCCCTGAACTCCTGGGCTAGACCATTCACCTAGCTCGCGCTCTGCCAATCAAAGCAGAAGTTCAAAGGGAAAGAAAAGAAGAGGAAATAGAATAAATAAACAGCAGCACTAACTTAACGTACCTCAAGAACATGCTTCACAACAGATGCTCCCCCGTACCTCAGAGCTTCCTCCCGTGCGTTGCGCTTGTCCACTTCGGGGAAGGTGCTGTTGATGAACCACCTAGCCCCCATTATGTTCTTTCCCTCGAACAAGCTGCTCTGAGGCACCACCGGAGAAACAGGGCCCTTTCCCTTACCAGGAGCCCGTACCTCAGCCCCCTCCTCCAACCATCTGAGCTCAGGGTTCAGCTCAACAGGAGGAGGTTGAGGTACGAACTTAGGAACCCCATTCCCCTCTTCCTCCTCCACCACTTTCTGCTTCTTTTGCAGTGCCCTCCTCTCCTCCCAACCTTTCCTCTTCAACGGTTTCACCTCCTCCTCCATCCCAGCTGACGCCAAGGGCACCACCTCCTTCCCAGCCCTCCCCTCATCCACTTGTCTGGTTGAAGCCTTTGACTTCTTCCTTGGCTTCTTGGGGATGGGCGCTCCTCCAGCAGTGTTCAGAAACTGATCCATTTCAGCTGCAAAGTAAGAAACACAATGTTAGTCACAATTTTATATTCTGCATTTAACGCTACAGTGCATGTTAAACAAATCTTCAGTCAGAGCACTTGGCCCATAGAGCTCAGCAGCCTCTATGCATGCTGCGCTGGTGAGGTCCATGATGTTCAACACATCTCCCCCCTTCCTCACCAACTTCCCCACTTCCTCCTCCTCATCCTCATTTAAACTAAACCTATTCTGGTTGGCCCTTTTGGCCTTCTAGGAGGCTAACGCCCTCACCTCGGCATCCCCCTTACCCCACTCCGTGTCATCCACAAAAAAGAATTTTTCCTTCCATCCCTTACTGGATGAAGGACCCGCAGTGAATAAAATTCTACTCTCCTTCTTAGCTACCCTAGGGGTGAAATAATACCACCCCTTATCCCTCCTACTTCCTCCCTTTAAAACAAAAAAGTATTTAAACATATTCACAGTTGGTACATTAATCCCCTGAGCTCGACAATAAACTAAAAAACCTATTATTACCCTCATTGCGTTGGGGACCAAGTGTGTCAACCCTATGTTGTAATCTAATAGTAAACCTACAAGCAACTCCGGAATTGGAAACTTAAGGCCAGCATACAAATAATGGGAGTATACGGGCATCCAATGATCCCGAGGAGCAGAGCATGCCCTCTCCTCTACCCCAGTTGGTCTAACTAGCACTTGGGATGAGGTTTCATAATTTTCTACTAAGTGACCCAGGCTATCCCTGGTCCTTAGTTCAGATCGATACTGTTTCACCTCCTCCACTATCTCTGCATTCTCATCATAATCCCTCTCCCCTCTACCCTCTACTTCTACTACCGTAATGGGTATGCTATCTCCCTCAACCCCTACCACCTCGTTCCTCCCAACCTCTACCACCTCATCCTCTCTCATCCCCTCCACCGTCTTCTCCGAACTAGATGGAGACGGACTACTCTCTGAGTCCATACCCCCATAGTCTAAAGGCATCACCTCACTCCCAATCACACTTCCTGTTCCTTCTGCGGACATTTTCTCAAACTTTGCATGAGGTAGGGGGGAGGAATGAAGTCAGGACCCATTAAAAAAAAAAAAAAAAAAAAAACCCCTCCATTACACATTCAAAACCCTTTTCATCTCTAACCCTAACTTCCTTCAGAGGACTCTAAATCAATCACAGAAAGGGAGAAAGGAGAAAGACACTTCAATTAACTTAAAATCAGAGTTTCGTCTACATTACCTGATCTCGGTTTTGAAAGACTTGATTTAGAGTTCCCCAGTTGATGCTACAGTTCACGCATAGGAAACACACAGTAAAGCTTCTCGCAGAAGTTTTGCAGGAAAAGAAATGCAAGTAAACCTTTTTCTGCAGAAAAAATGCCTATTTATACTTCTGGGCAAAATTAGATCTCAACGGCTGAGATTCGTTTAATCTTACAGTCCTTGTTGACACCGTTTGGAATTCAACGGACAATCTCAAACGGTACCGTTTGGAACTTGACGATTCGTTTTTAAATTTGCCCGTTTAATTGTCGCAGTTATCTTTTTACTGCCGCATTTATTGCGCACGTCATTCTAAGGACAACTGTCACATCACGTGTTCCTCCTTTGTCAGATTTTTCAGAACGAACCCACTCACGACCGTTTCAACACCTTTGTTTACTTTTCTCAATTTTGTCAAGTGTTTCACTTCGGTCCCAGCCACAATAATGCTGCATTACATTTCACATTGACTTCAGCCCCAGTGATCCTGTATCACACATTTTATTTCGGCTCCGGCCATTATGACTCCGGTCATTATATTTTATTATAGTTCCGGCCATTTTGACTCCCATTTTTATATTTAAGCCTAGCTCAACACTTTTGTTTACTTATACAATTACACTTTTAAACTGACATTGTGTTTTACTTCGGCTCCGGCCACAGAGACACATGTTTTACTTCGGTTCTGGTTACTGTGACTATATGTCATATACTCTACCTCGGCTCCGGCCATCATAACTTCGGTCATCATATTTTATTATGGCTACGGCCATCATGACTTCGGTCATCATATTTTATTATGGCTACGACCACCAAGACTCCGGTCATCATTTTTTACTATGGTTGCAGTCACGATTAATACTAGTCATTATTTTTACACGACTACAGCCATGATCACTCCGGTCATATTCTATTTAACACATTCCCAGTGTAGTCCACTATTACATATTTCGTTATTAGCTACGGCTATGTTTACATTTAAGTTACAGACTTTATTTCTTCTTCTTACATCCACAACCTATCCTCATTCTCTTTGTTTATGCACTCCCCTCAACATCCCCAATAACATCATTCACAAGTGAATGACTTCGGGGGGAATAGTGTAAGGATAGGTCCGAGGTGCCAAGCCTCGGACTACTACAGTAATTCCTTTATGACTGAAGTGAGGAATAAATCTAAAGCTTCCCGCTCAAATGGCTGCATGACAAGGACAATAAGCATGCCCGCACCTGATCCCTTACGATGAGTGGCACAGCAAGTATGGTGGACGCTCGTGCATCTAGATACTCCTCAAATTCCCGGTCCCGGAATAACCTCTGGAGGGACACGTCAGGCTCCGATTATCTTGCTTGGCATGCCACGTGGGTTCCTCATTGGATCCTATAAATACTCCCAGAGGCCACCTCAGAAAGGCAATTGAAACCAACCCTAAGCTCTTTTTATCTCCGCCCTAAAGGTAGCCCCGATTATTGGTGACTTAAGCATCGGAGTGTCTACCCCGAGTTCCACCTCGGGTCATCTCGGAGTACAAGTACGGATTGAAGAGAGGCTTCAGGTTTGGTGCAATTACATGATTAGCTGCAATTTGGAATGCGGTTGAGCTTTTTGTTTGTTTCCTTGTTTGCTTCCTGGGAAAACGGAGCAAAATCAATGAAAATTTGCAAGTTTGGGTTACTTTTCTTTTATTTTTTGTTTGATTATGGTGGGTTGATTTCGGCTACATGGTCGAATTAGGTGGTCCTGAGAGGTTGTGTTCGTTGGCTAATGTATGATTGAAGATTTACCAGTTTCCATTTTTATTTAATATTTTGTGCTTTTTCTTGTTATTTCTCAATCAAAGCAATTTTGATTGAAATCAAGTTTAAAATTTTTTTCTTTTCTTTATTGTTTTTGATAGAGACAAGCACAGTTCTTTTTAACTGGGCTTCAATTGATTTTGTTAATCTGCTCGATGTCTAGAAAGTTGAGGACTGGTAAAGGCATGCTAGAGCCTTTGTATGTCCTGATTGTATTGGATGCGAAATTTTTTTGTGGACCAGCTGCTAAAAATTAATGGATTAATGACATCTAATCAAGAAGATCTGATAGTATTTTCTGATGCGTTCCTTGTACTACTCTTGCTTTTTGGAAATGTCAGGAACTCCATGCCGTTTATGAATATTTTGTTTGGTTAATGAGAAAGACGAAAGAGCAGGAGTTGAAGGGGAAATGCATCTGTATGGATGACTGAGAAAAAGTTGATGCTTGGGGCCCAAACCCAGGTTTTCATTCCATGTCTAGACATCTGTCTATTATCACTGTTAGGTTGCCTTAATAACTTGGGTAAAAAGCAAAAAGAAAAAGCTCTTTTTTCTTATGTGCTGAATGAATGATTTGTGTGCTAGATCTTACAATACATGCTATACTATTTTTCTGATCCTAATAGGACTAAACTGTTAAATGAAAAAAAATAGGATTAGGGGAATTCTCCTAATTTGATAATTGAAATGATACGTGTCAGAGTTTACATTTACTGCTTTGATCTTGTTGCAATCAAATGAGGAAAGTTAGTAGACCTGTTTGTGTCGTGGTGTTGTTATCTTCTTTTTCTTGTTAAAAATGCTGCCCAGCTTCACTTTTAGTATTTATGCTGTAGGGTTTGGAATATTGAAGTTTTATTAATTTTTAACCTTTTTCACAGCTTGGTCCCAGTTTTTTCCCCATGGGCTTTGTTCTAATTGGAACATAAAGAATAAGAATTAGTGATCGAAGTTTGACATTCTGCTGAGTTCCATTGAAGGTCTTGTAGACTTGTTGGTTTTAGATGATACAAGCTGACTGCAGCTTGTAGAAGCTGCATATGAGAATGTGGATAATTTTCTGGTTGATTTTCAGTCATTCTTACAATGAGAAGTGGATTTCCCTCAACTTTGTACATTTCATGCTACAGTCTAGCACTAAACTGCATATGCAAGCTAGTAACCAGCATTGCATTGATATAGTAGACACTTCTTTTTGGAGGTTGTTAGAAGCATATTGACACATTGTTGGCTGTCATTTGCTACAACTGTCATAATGGAAAGGTTAGTATCTTATTAATGCTCCTATTTAAGTGTCAAGCTCATTTCCTAGCCTTAATGTGTTGTCTTTGCTATTCCTTTTCCTTTCACTCAGATATACAATTTTGGAGGAGCTTGGAGATGGTACTTGTGGTAGTGTTTACAAGGCCTTCAATAGGGAAACACATGACATTGTAAGGATTTCCCTTCATCTTTAGTTTTTGACTTTTGAGTTTAGCTAATAACCTACTCTTGTATCATAGTTCTAATTGAAAAGAATTCCTGTTTTTTTATTTTTTATTTTTATTTTTATTCTTTTTTCTCCGAAGAATTTGAACATCCATGAAGCCTTTTTGCAGCAGTTAATTCTATGATGAACATGTGTGTTCTCTTCTGTGATTGTATAAGATCTTGTTTGCTGGTATGTGAACAATGCACACTCCTGATAAATAACTTCTTTTCTGTTATTATTATTGTTATTATTTATAGTCCTCATAAATCATTTCTAGTAGTGATGAGCAGTGATTTTGTATTGGAGATTGTTTTGTGATTATCGTAATGAGAAATGATAAGCATGGAACCTAATTAAAATGTTACTGTTTGGAACTTTGCAATTTACTTTGTCAATCCTTTTTGTTCTGTGGATGGCTTCATAATAGTGTGTAAACTTTAAATTTTACTGGTATCTTTAAAGTTGTATTCTAGTTCAACGTAGCTGAAACCTTTGAAGATCATTTGTTGATCTCTCCCTTTGATTCCTTTTTCACATTTTGTTCTAGGTTGCTGTAAAGAAAATGAAAAGAAAATTCTATTTTTGGGAGGAGTGCATGAACTTACGAGAAGTTAAGGTATGTGCCATAACCTCTGAAATTCCTTTCATAGGAGATTGCATCAAGTTTGATAAATTGTAATTCAGTCATCCATTTATGCATTTTCCTCATGGTACAACATATCTTCTGCAGGCCCTTCATAAATTGAACCATCCCAATATCATAAAGTTGAAGGAGGTTGTCAGGGAAAATAATGAGCTGTTCTTCATTTTTGAATACATGGTAGTTCTCTTTGTTTCTTTGTAAAAACCTTCAAATTATGTCATCGAAGCTGTAAAGCATGATACCTTAACCTCTTATTTTAACTGAATTGCATATAATCAAAATTTTTCATGAGTTTCTACAGAATTCTTTTATTATTCATTGTATTATGAGGCACCATCTTCTTTACTCAAATTGAAGCTTAGTCACATGATTCTGTGTGGAAAAGCTACAACTAGCATTGGTGGTGGTGTGTCTCTTAACTTTATTCCTAGATCTAGAAATAAATACAGTTTCATGACATTTTGTATGGTCAAGCAGTGCACAGATTAAAGGACTTGGTAATGGTCTCAACTTTTCCCCTGTTTCAAACAAGAGATCCTATTTCTTTTATGAGCAAAGTACTGCTTCATTCTGATGGTTTTTTCCGGGTACATTTTGCTTGAGAAGGAGATTTTGTTATTTTGTATTTAGAAGAAAAATGCTAAAAAGTTTATAATTTTAGGATTTAAAACCTGGGTTTATAATGCACATTTGTGCTTTACTTAGAACCTGTGCCTAAAATTATTATGGAAAATATTAAATTTGATGTTTTAGAAAATCTTTAGTGCCATTTGCTAATTTCAGGTCTTATTTTACCCAGACCCATCCATGGATGGCTTGGGTAATGGATGTATAAAATGTGTAAGCAAAGAAGTTTTGAACAGAGGCATGCAATACCAATAAAACTCTTATTGTGTTGTCTGTGTTATAAAATGTATCACCATTTCTCTGGATAATATAGATTTTTAAGAGGTTCCTTTGCCTACTGATTTTTTTTATCATGGTTTATGTATGCTTATTTAAATGAGCCCCATGATTTAATCATCAATCCTTTATACTCTGTCTTTAACTACATCGTGTTAAGTATTAACTTTTGAGATTGAAGTAATTAATGATATGAAAACTGAGGCGTAACTTCCTTTCAAGAAACTATCTGCTTGAGTAAATTCCCCTTTTCAGTTCTTTTGTTATGCATTTGATCATAATCTCCTTTCCAGGAACATAATCTTTATCATATAATGAGAGGACGTGAAGGACCTTTTCCTGAGGAGGAGATTCGGAGCTTTATGTCACAGATGCTGCAAGGACTTGCTCACATGCACAGAAATGGATATTTTCACCGGGATTTAAAACCTGGTAAAAGCTTAACTTTTTCTTTTTTATTTCATGGCTTGTTGATTCAGAATTTATATTTGCATCACATGGAGCTTTTGGTGATTCTTTTAACAAGGTTATGATCAAATGTCAACATTTTTTAGAGAACTTGCTGGTCACAAATGATGTTCTTAAAATTGCTGACTTTGGGCTGGCTAGAGAAGTATCATCAATGCCTCCTTATACTGAATATGTTTCTACACGGTGGTGAGCATTCACATACCATGTATTATTATTATTTTTTTGGTCAATGTCCACATGTTGAGCATGTGATCTCATGGATTAGTCAATTATTCTATATTTTGAGATGGTATCAATTTTTTGCTTCTTATTGATTGGGTTAATGGCTTCTCAGGTATCGTGCTCCAGAAGTCTTGTTGCAGTCCTCTTCTTATACCCCTGCAATTGGTACACCTCATCTTTGCCTCATTTTAGCACAATTTTTCAACCTTTATAATTTGAAGTTGTCACACTTTTAACTGTTGAAAAAGATGCAAGTCTGTCTTAATAACATTTGGAGCAATCTATCTTCCTGCTACATGCCATGGAAAGTGATCTAAATTTTTAGGATGACATTTTATCTATATGATTCCATAAATTCTACAGTAGTTTCTTTTCACCATATTGTTCTGTTCCCCTTTTGTAGTGATAAGTTTTTATGTTAGTCTAAGTAAGTTTTTATGTTAGTCTAAGTAAGTTTTAGTTGCCTTCAGACTCCTATTTTCTGTTGTGTGGAATTGTTAGATCAAATTTTAATAAGATGTACAAACACATAGGGGTGTCTTTGGTTGGTGATAGTGGTTATTCATTGGTCAAACTATAAAAACAAGTTAAAGTTTAGAATCCCCCATAGGTTGCTAGGAACAACTAAACCTTAATGTCTGATATTCCTTTTTCATTGACAAAGAATCAAGGAATGCCAATTCCTTGAGAAATAGAAAGAATAAATATTCCTCATTCATCCTTTAGTTTAGTAGAAATTATCAACATTAAGGCATAGCTATTCCTAACTTCCAAAAAAAGTTTCTCAAATTTAACTTATTTTTATAGTTTGACCCAGGAATAGTCATTGCTAACAACCAAATTTTATAGGATGTACAAACACCTAGACCTTTAAGAACAAAACCTGGTTTATTGATGTTGTTATCAATTTTTTATAAGGCTTCTTAAAACTCTACAGTTGCCCCTTGAAATTTATCCTTTTTTTGCATGTTCAACAATGAAACCTTGACAGGCCTAAGAAACAAAGACATAAGAATTCTTATGAACTCTGGTATCCATTGTTTCTCAATAAAGTAAACCAATGGATATGTACCCATTAGGTTAATATCTTAAAATTTTCGCCACCCATCATCCATGTGAGCTTGCATATGAAGACTTCCATAGACCACTTCGATGCCATTCAAAGGCAAAATTGATTTGTTTAAGATCCTATCTCTTTCAATCTTATATGTTAGTCTAAGGTTTACTTGTTCCAGGATCATTTTCCTTGATCAATTTCTGATGTTTGACATCATTTACAGATATGTGGGCTGTTGGTGCAATATTAGCTGAACTTTTCACTTCAACCCCCATTTTCCCTGGTGAAAGGTGATTCTACTATTCCAAGACAGTATCTTTTCTATGAGGGAAAAAAAAGAAGACAGTATCTTATCTCAGCATGCCCACTGACTGTCTGTTATGCAAATAGTCATGAATATTTAGTGCTATTTTCTATTAAGAATATATATAATATATTCCTGAAAATTATTTCATTTTGAATCTCAAATAATTTGATTGAATGATTTATAAAAGCAATTACATATTAGTTTCACTCACATTAGGTTTACAGTTGTGATGACTGTAATAAAGTTGGTACTGGACGACAATACTAAGTTGAACTCTGGCTTTAATAGAGATCTTTGATTTTTAACATAGCATGCTATTGTTGATTTGACTAATTGCTTGTTACCAACACAGCTTTCCAAGAAAAAATCAAATATTTGGCAGAACTGATAACTTAAAGTCTCACACTATCGCTTAATACTTATTGGCAGTGAAATAGATCAACTCTATAAAATATGCTGTGTTCTGGGAGCACCAGATTGGCATTCTTTCCCTGAAGCAACAAATATTTCTTGTCTAGTCAATATTCCATATTCAGAAGTAAGCCATTTGTTTCAACAATTTATTGGTTTTCTACTGTGTTATGAGCTCATTCTTGTATTTTAATTGTGATTAATTGTCCTCAGATCTTGCCCACAAATTTATCTGACATCATTCCAAATGCTAGTTATAGAGCTATTGATTTAATCATGGTGGGTATTCTAGGTTTCCTTTGGTAATTACATTACCATTTGTTGTTCACCAGCCTTTGGCTGAATATTGCCTTTTGATGCCATTTTTTGGACTCTTTATAGAGACTTTGTTCGTGGGACCCATTAAGGAGGCCAACTGCTGATCAGGCATTACAGCATCCATTTTTTAATGCAACACTCTTCTCAATTTGTTATCAGCTTTCTATTTATATATTAGGTCAATTTACGAAAATGTGTTGGATAGGTGGCTACATGGGTTCCTTACCACTCCATGATCCACTGGAGCTGAGTCTTAATAATATAGGTGACCTTTTGAAGTTTGAATACCATGTTTTATATGAATCATAAGATATGATTGATAATGTACATTTTTTCTGTTCCTGTCTTACTATTCAATGTGTTAATCTGCTCTTCCATTACACAGGAGACAAGCCAAATCTGGAGTTGAATCTATGGGACTCAGGCAGTGAACCTGATGACTGTTTTCTTGGCCTGACCCTGGCAGTGAAGCCTAGTGTTTCAAACCTGGGTAAGTAAATTATCATTCAAAACACAACTGCTGTGTAACATACAGGTCTAAATGGACGTCTTTTGAGTGTTGTGATATTTAAACTCAACTTTTGAGGCATTTGGTAGCCCTTTTGGTATCTTAGCCATTCTCCATTCACCAGACTAAGTTTCTCAGGCAGAGACTTCAGTTCGAATCATACATGAAGAGATGGAATTGAATTAACTGAGAAATCATAAATGATAGAGGATATCATTTTACTGAGCTGGGCTCTTCATGGCTTTTAAAATTTCATGAATAGCTTGTTCTTTTAAGCTAATTAGAGAAACAAACTCATCAAAAGCCTTTCAATTGCTTTTAAATCATTTTAATGTATGTCTTTAAAACTTAGAAGTACCTGATGTTAAATTATCCTCCGCAGAGGTGGTTGGCGGTGTATCTCAAGGTATGGGAGAGGTGAGTTTCCAGTGCAAGATAAGAAAAAAAAAAGGGCTTATTGTGTCCTTGACATGAAATGAATTCAGAATTTTCTTTAACCATGTGCTGAAATATAGTGAAATTTGTAATGCAGGATATACTGTTTTGTCCTAGTGTGAAAGATCATCCAGAACGAATCAGGTAATTCTTGCTTCCCTGCATACTGTTTGGGATTCAAGCCTTATAGAATAGTTAAAAAGCAATTGTAAAATGTGATCACAGCCAGTGAAGTAGTATGTTATCTGAACTTAAAGCTGTAACATGCTTTATTTGTGGAAAAAGTTACATGCTTCATTTGTCATTCTGAAGTCCCAGTCATATCAATTTTTTTCTGAGAAAAGAGAAGAAATTTGCCTTTTCAGCTAATAGATTGTAGTTTTTTGCCTTTCAGTTTTCTGGTCGCTACTTTCTCCTGATCAAAATAAATTCAAATGCCAGATGAATCTCCTGTGTCAATCTCATTCAGGTAAGGTTCTAAGTTCCTGCAATCTCAGCTTATGGTAAAACTGGTTTGTGTGTGACAACAGTGGAGAGACTGATATGGTCTAATGATCGGTAGTTACCAACAGGAATATATCTTTCAACTCTGGCATGATATAATGTGATTTATTAGCAGTAGAATCCAAATTGCCATTTATATTGTTTAAAGTTCTCTTTCTTTTGTCTTCTAGTTTCATTGATACAGCTTGACATGACATCTGCTTTTCCTGTTAAAAATTTCCTTCCCAGCTCAATTCAGCATCCATCTATCAGAGTTCCTCAGTCAACTGGTTTTACAATTGCATCATTGCAGCCCAATATTTTGGAACATCAATTATTGGCCCTCTCATCCACCTTCCAGCACAGTAATTGCCTCTGATTGAGTTGTTAGACTACTCTAATAAGGAGTGTTTATAGTAAGCATTTGTAATTTATTCTTTTTTTCTTTTTGTAAAGTTCTATTGGCTTCTATTGCTGCCTGATGTAGCTATTAGCATTTGCATCACAGAATCTGTCCGGGGAATATAGACTCGAAAGTGGAAGCTTTTAGATTCTCATTTTCTCAAAGACAATTGTATCTATAGAGTTATCCGGTTATGGTCCGTTAAATATATAAAAAATATGAAACTATGTATACAAAATCCATTTTTTTCTAATCTCTCGAACTTTAAGATACTTATCTGCATTTTGCTTCTTGCATGTGCGTTTTTGGCTGCAATCTTCTGGAGGGTCTAGCAGGTTTTCCATTGTGCCTCTTGGTTCACCTTTGATTCTTGTTTAATGTCGGTTTTTGGATAGTTTCACCATTATTTTTCTACACGGGCAATGAAAGTAGTTTCCAGGTCTTTATGCCTATATGGTGTAGCTTGAGGTTTTTTTATTGAAGTTCTGATTGAGAGAATCTGTTATACGAGACTATGAATAATGGTAAAATTATTTGTGCAAGCACTTCTAGAGTAAAGAGAACTGTCGGGTAAATTTTTGAAAGATCCTTTCTTCGGTACGACTGAAATGATCCCATGGAATTAATGGCCTAAGTGAGCTACGCCTAACAAATCCTCCTCAAGGAACGTGGTTGCAAGCTATGGCCCATTTTTGCTATGAAATTAGCAGCATAATTGCCCTTCCGTCGCGCGTGTTGGATTAAGATGGAGCCAAACTAATCACGAAACCTTCAAATATCTGCTACAAGTACAGTTACTAAACAACAAGAGCTTGATGAAGTTAGTATTTTTAAATTTAAAAGTCTTAATTTGAGGTAAGATTAGAGGTTTAAACTTTTAAAATATCTAGTAGTTGACTCTTAAATGTAAATTTAAAAAAAAAAAAAAAAGGAAAAGAAAAGAAAGAAGGAAAGAAACACAGCTACGAAACTGTCTTGCTCCTGGGCAATCTTATTGACTTGACCTGCAGATGAGGAATCCATTTTCACAACAAAATGTGTAACTCCCATATGTTTACAAAGCTGCAACCCCTCTCGGCAACCTCATAATTCAGCCAAAAGAGTTGATGCTGCACCTGCATGATCATGGACAACACCAACCAGCACTTACTAATCCATTTCCCTGTACTCTAGAGCCGTCAGTGTTCTATTTATAGAAAAGGGGACGAGGACGATGCCAACTCAGCCATTGTGGTTCCCTTGGCATGACAAAAATGCTAGTAATCATAGCCTTAAAAGAATCCAAAGCATATGAACTAGCCAGGTTTCGGAGCTTTACTGCCGGATAGTCTTTCATCCTCAATGATCAACCTATTTCGACATTTCCATTGATGCCAAATGGTTGCTAAGAAGATTACATCATAGGACATTTTTCCACGGGCCATCCTGGAACAATTTCTGGCGTCCGTAAATTCTAATCCATTGCCCAAGAGGCTGGGAAAAGAAATCTTGGTTTCTAAGTCCAAGACGATGCCAGACCTGTTTCGCAAAGGGACAATCACGCAAGATATGGATGGGAGTTTCTGGAGCAACCTCACTGTGACATTCCTTTCCGTATTTGCATTGAGTCAAAGGTTAGGGTCCTTAATTGTATATAGAATTAGGGACTAATGGGTTGCGTGTCATTTTAAGAATCAGATTAGTGGAGTCCAGGTGTCTATTAACCTATTAATGTCAATAACAGGTGTCCTAAGAGAAGTATGGCTAAGTGGGAAGCATTTAAGACCCACTAACCTTGTTTGAGGGAGTATGTATGTGCTTTTACAATTAACTTAAGCTATTTTCTATTCTCTTGTATGCTGCATCGAAAGGGAAGGAGAAAGAAGCTATAGATATGTAGACAAGCAAACTCTTGCAAACAATCCATAATTATTAAGATCTGTGAATTAGAAGCTAAGCAAAAAAAATCAAATCGTCTGCAACAAAAAAAAAAAAAAAAATGTTATAGGGCAATGCCTTTTGCGATTTCAACTTGCTTCCATATTCTGGATTGATTGTGACTTAGGCTCATATGTGATAACTTTTCCATGAACAAGATGAAGAGATAAGGAGACAAGGTATCTTCTTGTTGCAACCTTCGTCTTAGTTCAAAGTAAGGCAAAAGGTTCACTATTCCATAAGATATAGAGCTTGTTTGAAGTCATAGAGAACATAATGAGTTTAATTAATGCAAATGGTACCAAAACCTTCTCGAGTAAGCTAAATTTAGTATAGCAGCTACTTTCCTCCTTTTCATTTTTCTCATGCTATTCATTATCTCTCGAGTCAACAAGATCCAATAATGGTAAAAGTGTCATTCCTCACACTTCTTTCCATTTTTTAGAATAATTTGTGGATGTTTGCTGATTGGTTGAAATAGGCTTTAAGGGTATCCATAATGGGCTACGCTTAGATAATAAAATGTAGAAGCACCTTTATAAAGCATAATAAATCAATATTGAACCAAGATGAGTGTTGAACCATCATCAAACTCCACCACATCATTAAATCACATGTGATGCCCAATCCCACACCAAGGAGGAAGTCAGAGTGTGTCTAATATATAAATAATTAACTATTACTGATATGGTCCATGGACCTTGGCTTGAAGAGTTGTTAGGTCAATAGTCATGGACTTCAGTTCAACTTGTTTCAATTAGTATTACAATGATTGCCTTTAGCAAGTATGGGCCTATGTTGGCCATCATAGCTAGTGGTAGTATGGACTTCACATCACTTAAGGTAGATTTTGTGCTTGTGGGCTTATTAGCCTTGTTTTGATTGTGACTGGGTTTGATCGAAGGATATCAAAATTTAAGTGAGGGAGATTACAATGCTAGTAATCCCACATTGAGGAGAAAGCGTTAGTGGATTCAATATATAAAAGAGTAGCTATTATAACAACTTGAGTTTAAGTTTTTAAAGGCTCTTGGACCTTGCTTTGAAAAGCTGTTAAACCAGTGGCAGATTTTGGCCTAGGTATTTTCTTTCATTTTAGCTTCAACAAGTGTAATTAGCCAAGCCACATAAATTTTATCCTAATTCTTATACTTATTGATGAAAGCAGAAAATTGTATATTTAAATTGTGCTCAACAATTGATATTTGTGAAAAATTATGGGCTTAAGATAGCATTTTTCTATAAATAATTTTATAAATGTTGATTCTATTAATTGTTTGAATTTTGATTCTTGAAGGCTGAATGATTAAATGGAAAAAAATTGGAAGAAAGTGGACTTAAGTGCAAAGGGTCAGAAAGATGAAAGTTCAAAAGTTAAATCTTAAAGCTTAAAGCAGGCTCGAGTGGGAATTTTCATTTTTGGCAAAAAAAGAGTGCGTACAAACCAAAAAGTGCGTAAAAGGCTTTGAAAGTTTTGGCACCAGTTTTTAAGTTCTAACATTTTCAAGCCTTCGTGCATCACAAAAGTTCCAAACCTTATTTAAGGTATTGGAACTTATGCAACAAGGTCCAAATGTACAAAAAAAAGAAAAAAAATTAATTCTTCAGGGTTGCTATTCTAGTTACCAAACATTTCTATCAATGTTTTGAAAACCGAATTGGAGGTCAAACCATTTTGACCTTCGATTTTTGGTTTGATCAATTTAACCGGTTAAATCATTTAAACCACCAGATCAATTGAATATAAATAAATATAATATTATGTTAAAATTTGACACAAGTGGTTCCACTGGTCCGACCATGTCATGCCCCAGAATCCAAATTCGAGGCGCGACAGACGCCGTGCACTCGTGAGAAGGTCCCACAAATGCACAAGGCTCGGAACTTATCAAATTCACACTCTGATACCATCAAAATCTAAAGATCAATTTTATAAACTCTCTGATATCATAAATCTCCAATAAAATCTCCAAATACAAGATCATGATTTGTTTCTAAAATTCATATCAAATTACAATATGGCTAGCCTTCTAACTCGTCACTTCCCGTGGTTTACCCGTCCTCGGTTTCATTTCCTGAAATGGTGAACAAGGAAAAACTATGAGATAAACTCAGTAAATAAATATGGAGTGCCCTTAATTAAACGTATAACATGCCAACAAGTGTAATCAGAAAACAGATACAAGTACGAGAATGAAATAAACGTCTCCTCTATAGGTCACGGCCAGTGTTATAAACCTCCCACTGGCGGGCAACAGAAATTGCTAGTGTTTAATCCCACTAGCAGGATAACAGAAACGAACCGGTTCTATCAGTAACATGTCGACATGTGCTAGCGTTTATAACTCCCACTAGCAGGCAACAGAATAACATGACCATATCAGAGACAAAATAGGCTGAATTTAACAGAAAATCATAATTCACCAATCACTTTCAAATCATCAGGACAATCAATCAAATTTCAAGTAGGCATGCTCAATTTAATGAAAAGCATAAAACATTTCACTTCAAATCCGTCATGCTCGTGTAAAACGGGTTTAGTCCCGCCACCATTTCAAAAACAAATCAAAACATGCTTTTAAAATCGAAGGGCGTTACCATAATCTACTTACCTCACTCACATAAAACCGAGCACTCAATCTCAGTGCTAACTGACAGAACGATCGGGAACCTAATCAAAACACCTTAGAATTAATATCGGACTATCACACATTTAAACTGAAATCATCATTAGGATCACTCCTAATCACAATACTATTTTCATAAATCTCCACATTATCAGATATCTCCAAAATCGTTCTTATATCACAAACTAATCATTTAAATCCCAGTTAATTGTTGGCCCTCGGTGTGTGAACAGTATCGGTGAACAGTACCCGTGAACAGTACCCCGACGTGAACAGTAACTCCACTTACACAAATTGGCCAAAACACTAGCTAATCTCACGGGATTTTCTCTCCAAAAATCACAGCAATCAACTCAAGCAATTTACACTTAAATTAAACAAAACCCACTTAAGCTACCAACTCCCGAGATAGAAAAATGGAGAAAATGGCTCGGCAAAACCACACCCACACACGGGATTCTCACACAAAACATCACAGCAGCCAATTCAAGTTAAATCCTACTTAATCAAGCTTAAACACATTTAAAATGCTTCTAAATGCTACCGGAATTCCTCCCCATTTCTGGCACAATTTGGACACACACAAGGCAGCAATTAAATGGCTAATTTAGGGCTTAAAGAAGTGGCCATCATACCAGAATTTTCCAGCAAGAACCGGAGCTGCAGGGGGGAAGAGGCCGGCGGCAAGCTGCAGGGAAAGCTCACGGGTTTACCCAAAAATCTGGAGGAACAACAGATTTAACATGAACCCAAGCTAATTCAAGGGAAAACAGAGAATTTAATGGCTATTTCTTACCGAAACAGCCCAGAATTTTGCACCCACAACCGGCAAGAGCAGCAACCGAACAGAGCAGAGCAAAGCAGATCTGGAATTTCCAACAAAGGGGAAAGATTTCTGGGTTCCAAGTCAGGTTCTTGGACAAGAAAGAAGGAGAAATTCCAAGCTTTCTCACCAATTTTTCAAAGCTGGTGCCGGCGGCTTGGAGTGGGGATTTCGGGAGGAAGAGTCGGGAAGAAGAAGATGACGAGGATGAGCAAAACACGTGGCTGAGGAGAGAAATATCAGCCTTGATCCTTATCCTAATTTCCTTTCTTTTAAGTTCTTGAACTTTCAGAATATTCACATTAGGCCCCAAAACAATCTTTTCTCACAATAAAGTCCCTAACTTAATGTTAAAAATTCTAGAAATTTTGGGGTATCACAGACCATGTTGCGTTTGGTGGAGAAGATATAGGTTCAAGTCCTCTTGATGCTAAAAATGTAATTATTTTATTTTTAACCCCTAATTTATAATATGTTAGCAGATTTTCTTTTGCATAGAAGGTATATCAAATTTAATTTTTTAAATTATTTTATAAAAATGTTAAAAATTA